ATTGGGAGAGATAATTCAGTTGTGGAGGTTCTCCCCAGAGGAACAAAGGGTCCCAGCCACACACCAGGATCTCCAGCCCAGGGGTTCCAGTGCTGGGGAGAGAAGTTCCCATAACTTCTAGTTGTGATAACCAGCAGAAATTATAGCTGAGTGAGAGGAGGGCGGCTATGGTCCCAGGCAATCCTCTTAAAGGGTCTGCTCACAGACTTACTCACTGATGAACTCACCTGCTCTAAGCTCCATCATTGGGGCAGCAGTTCAAAAGGTGCCAAGGACTTAAGGGAGAAATGAATTCATGGTGAGGCCTGGAGGGGCAGCTTTCTCCCAGAGGGAAGACCTGGCAGAAGCCATTCTTTCTTTGCTGTGCCCTTCCCCTTCCAGCCTGTAGACTCAAGCAGATGCCATATCTGAGTCTGGATCAAACTGGCTATCACCTTTTGTCTGCCCCACCCAATTTCTGGGCACACCCAAGCCACTTCCAGTGGCTTTTCTGTACGACCTTCCTTAGCTCATGCAGTGGACTTTCATAAAATCTCTCAAAGGTTCACAAAACCTAAACAAGTGGCATCTGGCTTCGGCATGTCCCATACCTCTGGCTAAGCAGCCCTAAACTGGGTACTAGTGACAGCTGGCTTTGGTTTGCAGACTGGCCTCTCAAGGCACCACTATGGATTGCTCTGTGGCTTGTACCAGGAGGCCCCAGGCAGGGCACAGGCTGTAGCTAATCTCAGCCTGCAATGAATTCCCTCCCAGGAGGCCCCAGGGCTGGCACACCAGGTGGCCAGCTTTGGGCCATGCCGGAGCATCACCTGGCTACTTCCAAGGATGACACACCCAAAGGGCAGACTGGGCAGGCACCAGAGCCTGGTTAAAGATAACCCTGCTCTGTAGGGTCAGCCCTCGTACCACAGCTCCTGCACTATAGTCACAGTCAGTCCGCACAACCAATCAACCTGAGAATCAATCCCTCCCATTGATGTGCGAACAGCAACCCAGGCTGAACTACAACAAGAGGGCACAACCTACACAAGGGACACACCTGGAGCACCTGACTGGTGACCAGGGAGACTGCACAACTGGGTCCCACAGGACACCTACTACATAAGGCCACTCTACTCAGACTGGGAGGCATAGTAGCACCACCTAATATATAAAAACAAACACAGGGAGGAAGCTCAAATTAGGAGACAAAGAAACATGTCCCAAATAAAAGAACAGAACAAAGCTCTAGAAAAAGAGTTAAACAAAATAGAGACAAGCAATCTACCAGATGCAGAATTCCAAAAACTGGTTATAAGGATGCTCAGTGATCTCAGGGAGAACTTCAACAAAGAGATAGGAAACATAAAAATGGAGATAGAAACCATAAAAAAGAACCAGTCAGAAATAAAGAATACAATAACTGAAATGAAGAATACATTAGAGGGAATCAACAGATTAGATGAAGCAGAGGATCAAATCAGCGATTTAGAAGATAAAGTAGCAGAAAACACACAATCACAACAGCAAAAAGAAAAAAATAATCCAAATAAATGAGGAGAGTTTAAGGGGCCTCTGGGACAACATCAAGCATACCAACATTCACATCATGGTACCAAAGGGAGAAGAAACAGCAAGGAATTGAAAACCTATTTGAAGAAATAAGGACAGAAAACTTCCCTAGCCTGATGAAGGAAATAGATATACAAGACCAGGAAGTGCAGAGAGTCCCAAACAAGATGAACCCAAAGAGGCCCACACCAAGACACATCATAATTAAAATGCCAAAGGTTAAAGACAAAGAGAGAATCTTAAAAGCTACAAGAGAAAAGCAGTTAGTTACCTATAATGGAGCCCCCATAAGACTGTCAGCTGGTTTCTCAACTGAAACACTGTAGGCCAGAAGGGAGTGGCAGGAAATATTCAAAGTGATGAAAAGCCAGGAACTACAACCAAGATTACCAGGCAAAGCTATCATTTAAATTCAAAGGACAGATAAAGAGCTTACCAAACAAGAAAAAACTAAAGGAGTTCTTCACCACCAAACCAGTATTACAAAGAATCTTGGAGGGACTTCTTTAAGATGAAAAGTAAAAAAAGATAAAAAACATTAATAATGAAATGGCAATAACTACTTATCTATCAACAATTACTTTAAATGTAAATGGATTAAATGTTCCCCTCAAAAAATAATGTGGCTGTGAATAAGGAAATAAGACCCTTGCTGCCTACAACAGACTCACTTCAGATTGAAAGACACACAGATGAAAAGTAAAGGGATGGGAAAAAGATATTTCATAAAAATGGAAACAAACAAACAAAAAACGCTAATGTAGCAATACTTACACCAGACAAAATAGATTATAAAACAAAGGCTATAACAAGAGACAAAGAAGAACCCAGTAATCCCACTTCTGGGTATTTATCCTAAGAAACCCAAAACGCTATTCAATGCATCCATAAGTTCATTGCAGCATTGTTTACAATGACCAAGAGACGGAGGCAACCTGGATGTCTGTCGATAGAAGAATGGATAAAGAGGAGGTAGTATAATACATACTGGGGATGCCAAAAAAATGTATACAAGTGGACACTTTAGTTAACGTTGTTCAAGCAATCAGAAGTGTCTGGACGCTGATGGTAACCACTGTGAGCACCTCTTGTAATTATAGATGTCAAATGTGACTTGACAGATGAATATCTTTTGTTATCGGTATATATTGAATATTACAATTTTAATATAGTTTTTTCCTTTCTTAAAATGAGTATACATTTTTTTGGCACCTTCTGTATATACAATGGAATATTGCTTGGCCAGGGAAGAGAATGGACTCTTGCCATCTGCAGTGGCATCAATGGACCTGGATGGTATTGTGCTGAATGAAGTATGTCAGACAGAGATACACAGATTTCATTTATATGTGGAATCTAAAGAGCAAAACAAAGAGAAACAAACTGATAGATACAGAGAACGTTTTGGTGGTTGCTAGATGGAAGGAGGGTTGTGGGGGGTGAAAAATGGGAAGAGATTAAGAAGTACAAACTGGGCCGGCTGAGTGGCTCGATGGTTAAGAACTGGCTTGGGACGCCAGAGGGCCCCGGTTCGGATCCCACATATGAGNCCATCATATACACAATCTGTGGTTGGAACCTCATTTCCAATCACCATACACAAAAAGACCTAAATAGTTATTATAGGCCTATGTGCAACCGTATCCATTTTATCCAGATGAAATTAAAGGGGAGAGATACAATAAAGATAAATAAGTATTAACTTCTTTAAGCATGACTACTTTGGAGATTGTTTTTGTTGTTGTTGTTTTTTGTTGTTTTCTTTTAAAGCTGAGCCATCCTGCTACCTATTGGCAGCTTAGCGGCAGCTCAGCTTGGGCCAGGCATCGAACCGCTGTTGCTCAGAGCTCAAACTCTTGAGCAAGCTCTTAACCAACTGAGCCACTCGGCTGGCCCCTGGAGGAGATTGTTTTTTATTCAAGTCTTATCAAAGCATATTATGCACTACATATAAACAACATAAAATGTTCTCTTGGTGAATCACTGTGAACTCCAGTGAAAATGCTGCCCCATAGTAGAGTGATGGCCATGGGACCCAAGAAATCACACAGGGGTGTCAGTAGTTCTTGATAACTCTGCTTTTAAAGCAACTAAATATGCTTATTATTGATTTTTAGGACCTCTCCCTCACCAGAGATTCAGCATCAAGTCTCTCTCACTCTCTCCCTTTGGCTGCTCTATCGCATGCTTTCTCATCCCCTTTCTAACTTCTTATTCTAACCTACTAAAGGCTGAGGAAAATTTTAACTAAAGTTATTGGAAGTAAACATGAAGTAAGAGCAACCAGGCTCTGAGAAAAGGTCCGAGGGCTCTCCTGGGATGAAAATTATGAAGTTTCAAGTACTGGCTTTGTAGGATTTTGCCACTGTCCATAAACATTTTTTATTCATTTCTCCAATGCTTGCTTTTTGAAATGGACGGGTTAGTGATTAAGGATGTGGAAAAGGATAGTCTATTATAATAAGAAAACACTGAAATATCTGGAAAAATCACAGGTCATTTTTTAAAGAAAACTGCAAAGATGTCCAATATCTGTTGTTATTTAAGAACTTAGTCTAATTTTATGTAAGGAGTCTTTCAACGGTCATTACCTCGTTCTTTCACAATGTTCCCATTGTAGAACTGATCTCTCCATACTTCATCATCACTTACAACCAGACTGGAACATAAGAGAATCAAACGATTAAAGTTACACTTCAACTGCTAGCGAGCTATCAAGAAGTACTGAAAACTATAAGAAACTGTAAGAAATCACACTAACAGAGACTTATCTGCTCAATTTACTGACACATTTCTGGACATAACATGATACATTCCTGAAAGTTACCTTCGAGAAAAGAGGC